GCCAAATTTCAGCCCAATCCAACCAGTATTTTTCGCGTTCACTTGTCACAAACATACATCCACACATCCATACATCTAAACTTTCTCATTTATAATATTAGTAGGATTAGCAACATGTTAAATCTCCATTTAAGATAAGTTGAATTTCCATTTTTGATCTAATAAAAATAAATATTCTCAAAATACAAATAAAAACTGCACATAATATAGGACCGATAACCTTTCTTTTGGTACAATGCGCGTGTAAATCAGTCCAGTAGTATGGTCAGGGTGGCTGTCGTAAGTTAAAGAATTTGGCCCCATGTTTTAAATCTCCATAAGAAAAGTTTAATTTCCATTTTTGACCCAATTAACATAAATATTTTCAAAATACAAATGAAACCTGCACATATAGGACTCGTAACCTTTTTTTTGGTACAACGGTACAACCCGCGTGTAATTCGGTCCAATAAAGCTAATTCGGATGTACTGTAATTGTAATTTGGATCAATGGTCAGGCACTCAGCATAGCAACGCTGGTGGCGCTGCCTACGATTTGACAGTCAAAGCTCTCTCCGAGTACTTAACGCTTTTTACCATGCGGTTGGCATTCTGGGTTATAGTAGTATCACAGACAATATAATACTTTCCATTGTCTGTGGTAGTATGTTTTCTTTGCTATGAATCAGGGCTACAGTATATCTCTAGCCCTGGCTATGAATAGGTATGAAAGCTTTCTTGGATAGGGAAATCAATTGATTGGATAACATTTGGCGGAGATGATAAAACCTAAGGGAATAACATAGGTACAATGCGACTAGGCCTATAAGGGACAGTGTTTCATTGGAAAAGTTTTTGTCATTGATAAACATGTCGACAGGATTTTTGGACGTGAATGGACGAGAGAAATAAAACTAGACTAGGGAGAAATAACATCTACATGATCATATATGAAACAAGGAAGCCGGAGCTGGATTTATTACTTGCAAACTATGAAGGTTTATTTGACAAAAACATAGGGTCTATTCCAAACTTTGAAGCAAAACTAAACTTGAAGGACAGCTTAAGCCCTATTTACATAAACGCCAGACAGGTTCATATGGCATAAGGACAAAAGTTAAAAATGAACTCAGCCTTCTGGAAACATAAAATATTATCACTTAGGTAGACAACTTAGAATGGGGAACACATATTGTGCCTAAGTCTTAAACCCACTGGTGACATTCATATCTGCCCTGATTTCAAAGTTACTCTGAACAAAGTGGTGAAAGACAAGAAATGCCCAATTTCGAGGATTGAAGAAATTTCTTCTACAATGAGTGGAGGTTAATACTTAAGTCTTGATATAAGCTATGCACGTTTGAAAATGGATGAAGAGAGTAGCAAAATGCAAACACTAGTTACCGTACTAATAAGTAAGTAGCGTTTTTTAGTACTCATAACGGGTCGTTCAAAGTAAATGGACTAATGTTCGGGGGTTAAGCTTCTCCATGCCTGTGGCAAAAACTCATGGATTCCTTACTACAAATTATGGATGGTGTACAATGTTTTTTCGGTGATATTTTAGTCCAGGGATCAATGGTCAAGCGGATAGATTTGTCCAACTACAAAGGGTACTAGCCATAAAAGATAAAGGAGGGGATATGGACACAAAGTTACAACAAATACGATTCTTGATGCAAATTAGACAATCAAGAATCTCTACTGGGTCAAATCGTATTTCCTAATGTTTTAGAGAAATGTGAGAATGAGACTAGGCCTACCTATTTCATGATAACAAATAACAACCCGAACAGAACGGATGTAATAGCAAGGTAAATTTGGAATACACGTCAATTATATTATATAGTTTGATTCACCTATCAGGTCTAATAAAGATTGGAATGTTCAATCGCAATCGATTACCACTTAACATCTTCGATAGATTCTTCAGAGTTAAATAAAAGTATGAATGAAATTGTTTCAAGTGTTACTAGACCTATGTAGGTATATTTTTAATCACCTTCTTAATTTATTAATATTTAGCTACAGTACCGGTACATAGGCTAATTATTGAGCGGAGTGAGCAAAGCTCTTAGGCCTGTACTACACACTTTTGCTTTTTATTTACAAATAGGCCTACTCCTCCTATTTGGTACCAAATATCAACTATGGGAGATATAAATCTAAAATGGTATAAATCTATGTAGCTTTAGGGCTCTGTTTAACAACCCTATTTTATTTGGATATCCTATGTGTTGTCTGTTGACTTCTGCTGTGCATTACATCTAACTGCAGACTGTAACTGTAGCAATGTACGTAGGCCTAGGGCCTATTTGTTCTTAGGTAAAATGCCATGTGTACACCGAGAATTAAGCAATCTTTGATAACACATTGTTAATGCATCCCTTCATGATCGACAGGAGACTACTGCACATAGAGAGACCAAAATAAGTTATGATGTTCAATACTTTAATACTTTTCATTGAAATGGCGATCAAACAGAGTAGGTATTTTAAAATAGCCTAAGTATGAATGGAGATGAGTGTAGGATGAGTGGATCTTGTAGTCTTGTTAGTGACCAAGGCCGACATATTCCTTGGACACAGCTGTTAGTTAATAGCCCATACAGCTAATCAGTTCCTAGAAAGAAGTGTGTTGGGGTACAGTATTGCTTTCTCTTAAAACATCCGGCTAGCTAGATAGAATGCATATTTTTCCATAAAAATAAATTCCCCTGGAGGAAAACTCTATTCTAACACAGGCAGGGGTAAAGCCACGATGAAGACTAGTTGTTAGTGTGTCTATTGACTAAATTGAAGATAGGCCTATTTGTAAAATGGTGTAGGCCTACGGTAACCGTTGAGAGAGAAATAAATAATAGGCCTATAATAATTATCTAGAAATAAATAAAGACACATTCGTCAAGGGAGGAGTTTCTAGCAGAGACTGATCAAGTACAGTCTTCTGGTCTATGTTAACAGGTAAATATTTGTCTCCAACCATTTGGAAGCACCCTTAAGATCCAGCTATTTGCTCTCCCGACTGACTATTTGACTTGAGGTTTTTTTTTAAGTTCAAAGATAATTTTGGATAGGTAAGTTATCTAGGTCTAATCCTTTAGCAGCATAGCTTAGTCATCATCAATGTTTTCACGTTTCCTTGCAAGAAAGTCATGGTTTAACTTAGGACTAACTAATACAGTCAATGGTGCTAAGTTAAGCAAAAACTCACATTCTGAGAGTCACTGAGAAATTTGCAGCTTCAAAAGCCTTACCAACCAGGTTCGCTGGCTTCTTAAGTGCCCCGGAGGTACTAGACTTAACCTTCCTGAAACCCCTATTAACCTACTCTTAAGATGGCAAGTTATTCAATCCAAAACATAAGTTAATCACAAAGAGTGTTCACAGTGTGGTAACTTATTATGGTTGAAATAATCTCCCATAACCTAGGCCTACTGATCCCTTCACTGACCTATGTTAGTTAAGACTCTGAGCCCAACTATATATCGTACCCAGGTTATAGTTGCACTTTAGTTTACACCCAATAATTTATTACATTATACATTAACTACCAGCTGATTATAAAATGAAACTGTTCTAAACTACACCTAACCAACCATGAAATATAGGCCCTACCAAACTGCAGTAAGTATGTAGGACGTTTCTTGTAGGTAGATTGATACCTACCGTTATAATGGTAACCTTCTACTTTACAAAGAAATCTAGTGTAGGCCTAGCCTATTTCAGATTTTTAAGGGATGTTCAGAGATTGAATTCGTTAAGTCAACCAAATCGCTGACAAACAAGCTTACAGTAGGCCTACCATACAAATCAGGCCTCAGCTTAACACGTTCGCTACCACAATTATATGGAATTTAGGCCTACGTTCGCATAGACCAGCGACGCAATTGTGCGTCGACTCGTTTCTCACAATAGACCACCGACGCATATTTGCGTCAGCTGGTCACATTGAAATAGACTAACGACGCACATTTGCGTCGGTGTTCTAATGTTATTAAACAGCGTATTTCTTAGCAGCGGTCTATTGTAAAGCTCGGATTTTATCGTATCGGTCTAGAGGGATATCTGCCGCAAATGTGCGTCGCTTGGTCTGTGGATATGACAATTGGTTACGTCACACAACAGTTGGCAACATTGTTGTTTACATTGTGTATTCCGCGACATCACAGAACAGATGTAAACGTTATAACCTTTGCAGTTTTGGCTAGTGTTTAGTGGAGTTTCTTTATTTGTTTGTGTAAAAGCTTGAAACAACCAAATTTACAACGACGCTTACATGCGTCGCCTGGTCTATTGAAACGAAAATGTATGTAATCTTTTTAACTGGATTTCATTAAATAGACTGACCGACGCATATATGCGGCGTTTTAAAATTAGTTCATAACGAAAAATAAAAACAATAAGTCATTTATTGCTTACTAGGCCTAATTCGCTTAAGGTTATTATGAAGTCAATTAGTCCATTTAAACGATATTTCTCTTTTGGTCTGTCGGCAATGTTATTCCTATATCACTTGGTCTGTAAGGAACGTCATGATCATTCCTTTTAGTCTGTAGGAGTGACCGGACCGACGCAAATGTGCGTCGCTCAGTAGCGAACGTGTTAAGTTCTTAAAAGTGTTCACAGTTAAAATTGAGGGTGGAGAGGGTAGAGGACCTCCATACGAGGAGTTGGATTTCCACCAAGAATGAGCTGTCACTGGCTAGATGTTTACAACAGGTTAACCTCCTAGTTTAGCTGAATGTTGAGGTTAGACAAGATTATCAAAACTAAGCCTAACATGGGGAATATTTCCTTCCTTTGGACCGAATCGGATTGGTATTGGTAAAACAAGGAGGAAAAGGCCTAGGTTTAACTTAAGTTAACCTAGGACAGTGTCAGTTTTATTCGAGTTTTAAATGTAGGCTAGCTAAGGCTGTAGTTTCATAAGTGTCCCGCAGAACAATCCCATGATAGGATAGGCTTAGCCCTAACGTTAAAGTATTAGTAGGTCTAGACCTAGGCCTAAATTACCGTTACCTGAGAATATCAGCCAGTAAGGTGTCCTCTTGGTGCACAACTACTAAAGTACATTTCCCAACGCATTAACAAGAACTATTCACTTCCTAACAAGCATAATTTTAGGCCAACATGAAAATTGCACTTCCTTCCTACTAACCAAACTTAAGTTAACTAACTTTGCCGAAAAATGTGAGTGTTCATCTGGATTATTTATGGTAGGCCTACATCACACATCTCGATTGACGCGTTAAAAATTATTTCACTTCAACAAAATAAATTTAACGTTCAGTTATTCACGTCAAAACATACAATGTGATCACTATGGTAGGCCTGATGATAAAGGAAAATAGCACTAATAGCAAATTTAATTAGAATGGAAAATAGATCGGGTAGGGAACGGTACAGGACGAGCGGGCAAAGAATAGACTTGAACTTTGAAAAATTGACACATACATACATACACTACTCACACAAATTGGGAACTGGGAACAATCGCTATCTCACTTTTGTGAGACAGGAAAAGAGTAAGAGAAGGTATGAAGGCTATCAAACGGTAATACCGTTGATTATTGAAAACAGTTTCTTACAATATTGTAAAAAATGAAAAAAATTTGTAAAGATGAAAAAATCAAAATCTTTTGACTAATTTAAACCTTTTTTTGTGTTGTTATAGGTTTGTGATTGTTTATTGATGCTACATTCACGAAGACTAAAGGCGTTTACAGAGTGGCAGCTATGATATAACCACTGGGCAAGAAATAGGTACAAGTGGACTTGGTAGGGGAACATGTCAAGGTGCCGCTTGGAGCTCTCCATTACACAATCAAACTGGGAATCGGTTTCTTGGTACTTCGTCGCCTCAGTTGATTGATGCGTTTCTTTAACATAACCGTTACCCAGTTTGATTGTGTAATGGAGCTCTCCGAGCCGGGTCACAACTTTGCCAGATTTCCAAACCTCTCCCATGCGCACTGGACTAGAACCCTGTCTCCGTATTTGAAGATTACTGGATGGTTGACTTTGTGAACAGTTGACTTGACTATTGCGGTTTCAAAATTTCTAACTTCATCCTCAACTTTCGGTTCAAGTACAAATAAAGTTTGTCATGTTTTATAGAACCTATTGACCCTCTGAGTTTCATCGATATTATTGAAGTTTAATCTGCAAATGTCAGATCCATGTTCTACCACAGATAATTTCTACCCAATAGGACTGTATCCAGGGAGCAACGAGCAACATATAGCGGTTTTATGGTCGATATCCCATTGCGTTTCACTCTTACTGAAGCAATACCAAAAATGGAGAAAAAATTACAGTTTATAATCTAAAAATTACAAAATATTAGGAAAATCAGTTGTCCAAGGTTTGATAAATATAACTAATAATATTTAGATAAATCAACTGTCCGAGTTTTTATTTCCTGATTTTATTAAAATATCAGTTGTCCGAGTATATTAAAATGTCAACTGTCCGAGATTTCATTTGTCCGAGTATCATCATCAGTAGTGGTGAACCCAGAAAGATAAGTCACTTTAGGCGTTTTTTCCCATAAGAATAACATGGGGATCATTTTTTGGCCACCAAAACCAAAAATCCTGATCTTTGCTCACATATCCCTATAAAATTGTCAAACCTTATTTCTTACTTATTTCCCATAAATATATTCGATATTAAGCTAAAAAAGCTATTTCTTATATTTATTGACCCTTACAAGTGTAAATGTAGAGTAGTGGTGAACCCACAATATGACATCACTTTAGGCACGTTTTCCCCATAAGAATAACATGGTGAGCTTTTTTTGACCACTTTTTTAAAAATCCAGCTCTCGACCAATACAAGCCTATATAAATGATCAATACCATTGTATAACTCCATTACTATTTCAAATCCACATGCATTCACATGTATATTCTCAAAATCATCAACTTGACAGTGTGAGGTTTGTATGCGAACTCGGGCGCGCTCCCGGCTCATGGCGCGCTCCCTTGGACATCCTTAGTGGAAATCCATGAATTCTGGCTACTTGGGAACCCAAGCCATTTGACATATAATAAATCACCTTTTCTCCTAATAACCTTTTCTATCAAATACATGTCTTTATATTTGGTCTTTAATAATTCCTCTGTATAGAAGCCTCCCCTGATTATATTACCATTTTCATCTTTCAAGATATAAGTCACAGGCTTTGTATTCTTTACTTCTGCTATTGTAAATAGCTCCCCTGTCCAATTCGGGGTATATCCTTTACTAAAAACATGTTTATACTTGGAAATTCTCACACTATCACCTACCTTATATCTTGGCTTTTTAACTTGCACTACTTTAGAAGTCAACCTCTCATGCACATATTTACTGTTCTTAATATTCACTTGGTTAGGCTTCATTCCTATAGATCTATGCACCTTATTATTATATTTTCGAATTAACTTTGGAAGTAAATCCAACCATTTATAACTCCCCTGAGCACTAAATTCCCTATATAACCAATTCTTTAAAGTTCTCTGAAACCTCTCTACAATTGCAGCCTTAGTTGTAGAAAATGTGTGATAGTGATTAATATTTAATTGTTTCATTAGTTTGCTAAAATATTGATTAAAAAATTCTTTTCCATTGTCAGATTGAATGTTTTTAACCCCCTTTGGTAGAATGGTTTTAATGGCTTCTGTAACCACCAAACCCGTCTTATTCTTTAGCGGAGCAGCATAAACTTTTTTAGAAAATGTATCTATTAAAGTTAAAATATATTTATTGCCAGAATTCTCTCTAGCATAGTTTTGCATATCAATTAAATCTATTTGTACAGTTTCGTTTATACCTAATACTTTAAAAGACCTTCTAATGAAATTCTTTCTTGCAGGCTTATGAAGTTCGTATGCAATTTCATTCATTTTTTATAACATCATTCTTTCCTTGTACTGTAAATATATTACCATTAGCCCCAATCAATAGATTATCTTCCATTCTTTTAAATACATAGTTTTCTGGTATATATGGTCTATTATCTATATACTTAAATCCACTCAAAGATGTGGGGTCGGCAACTAATAAATCAGGATTGTATTCCATCAAATTAAATTTTCTTCCTCCATATACAAATTTTGATCCATCATAATACATAGCTTGTGACATTAAACAAATATCATCTAAATATTCCCCCTCTGGTAGATTTCTTATAAATTGTTTTTTGGCATCCCAACATTTTTCTTTTTTATCAAAAGTTATAGTCTGTTCTTTTATAACACAGTCAGTGTCATCAATGGCAGGTTTGACACGTACTAACCTTTTACTATTAAAACTCCAATAGCCTGCTTCCATTTTTGGAACTTGTGAAACATTCACAGCATCTTTACTATCTGTACCTTCCATCAAATTACTAATTTTCTGTTTCTTTGCATTCCAAACACCATTCTCTGATTCTAAAAATTCATAATTATTATCGTCTTGTACAAATTTACCATCTTCTTTTCGTATTAAAGTCTGTTGTAAAGTGGGCACATCATCTAAACTTTCACCCTTTTCTACATTAGTAATTTTCCGTTTCTTAGCATTCCAAATACCATTCTCTGATTCTAAAAATTCATAATTATCGTCTTGTACAAATGTACCATCTTTTTTTCGTATTAAAGTCTGTTGTAAAGTGGGCACATCATCTAAACTTTCACCCTTTCCCACATTAGTAATTTTCTGTTTTTTAGCATTCCAATTTTTATTCTTAGATTCTAAAAACTCATATTTAGTTTTACCTTGTAAAAAGACATCACCTTTTCTAGTTAATGTCTGTCCCAAAGTTGATACATCATCTACAAACTCCCCATCTTTAACATTACCAATTTTACGGTTTAAACCATTCCAACTATTGTCTTGTAAATTTAAAGTAGGTTCACTACTAGCCCTGGGTTCTGCAGGCTTATTATATGGATTATATAAACGATAAAATTTATCTATAAACATATTTTTATTTAATAAATAATTCCACTTTCTCTTAATTCCTCAATAATGGAATCTATTTCATTATCCACTCCTGAGTTACCGGCTTGGCGACTTAGCCAAAGAAGTCTTAACCTATCTACAAGCTCATTAGGATCATCCCAATAAATATAGTCTATTTTATTACCAGTCACTTGTCTCAAACCTTCACCAACAGATTTAAAAAGAGGTTTAATTATATTAAGATATTTAGTATGTCTATTACTTGAAATTGGTGCACCATCTTTGTAACTCTTTAAATGTCCATTTGTAGCTTCCAAAATTTCTTTATAGTTTTGCAAATCAGCCGGAGTATAATCCTCAGGTTCTTTTAAAGTTAACAATTGCCACAAACCTTTTGTCCCCTTGTAGGTTTTATTTGCAATTGTAACATCATCATTGGCAATGTCAACTTCCTTATTTCCGATAAAAAATTTATTTGCTTCTCGTCTAATACCATATGTAGTGTCTGTCATACTACTTTTACTGAGGTAATTTCCTAAATAGTCTGATGCTAAAAGACCAAAATCTAATTTCTGTGGAGTGGATTGTTGTAATGGTTGTAATGGTTGCAATCTTGGTATTATTGGTATTCTAGATGGAGTCATTGGGAGAATCTCCATTCGAGGCCTCTCTGATGTGATTTTTTTTAATTCTTGTAATGGCTCTATTAAAGGTTGGAATGTTTGAAACCTCTCTTCAGCCTCTAGAAACTTGCCACGTTTTAAAGCTCTATATTTCTCTCGTATTTGATTTGCAGAGTCAACCAATTCTTGTTGAATGTTTTTCATCTTTTATTTACATTTTATTTATCTCATTTGACAAAGGATTGTACTCAAACACTTTATCATGTATTATCAAACAATATGCAGATGTATTTGCTGGTACATTTTCTGCAGTTTCAATCTCTAATTTAATATCAACAATTCCTTCCTTCACTGTTTCATTCTGTCTAGAACAGTCTATTACAATTAGTGGATATTTCTTCATAAACTCAGCCCTACTAATCATAGGATCTGGGATAGTATTATAGTAAGTCTCTCTAAACCTCATAAACATCTCATAAGCTTTAGAGACATCTCCATTTTCAAAGTCGAGATTTAAATCACTATAAGGATAATATTCAGAGTTTAGAAATACTTTGAGATTTTTTAACTTACAGTGATCAAATTCATCAGTTCTTTTTCGTGCACTATTATCCCTAGCTGTTTGGAAACCAAATATAATATACCTAGGCTTCTCCAAACTTGAAGATGTCTTTACTGACCATGTATGTCTTGTAGTATTGGGATATGATGGAAGTTCATGTAACTCTAAACTTCTAAATGCAATTTGCAAATTTTTATTTTGCAATAACATCTTTTGTAATTGTAACTTCTCTCCATCTGATGGTATCACGTGTGGCATTACCCACTGAATTGAGTTA